TCACTCGATTGACCTCTGCACACGGAGAGTCAAACATTCCAGAGAGGGACAGCGGCTCCTGAATCTGAACCAGACTGTTGCGTGTTTGGGTGAAAATGACAACCTTTGCACCTTTTGGGATCAGCCTCCGAGACAGAAAGTCGTCTCTCCTTTTCACTTATAAAGCCTCGGGGGGGGAGGGGGGTTGCCAGGTTGGGTTAACCTCCTTCCCTCCTTTGAGAGCGTGAATCAGTCTGCAAGCGCACACCAAAGGAATTCACTGAGGCTGCAATGTTGGGGAGAGTTAGTCAAATGTTTACCTTGCAGCATCTACACAAAGACACTTTGAATAAAAAGGAAGCTAACCTCCAAAACAACCACGATACAAACACACGTCTGTGCGGACGTATGAAAGTACACAATCAAGTCGAGTCTCTCCACCCTGTTTTGCTTGACAGAGAAGTATGTGTGTGTGAGAGGAGGGGGCAATAAGTCTTCATGCGAGCTGAGAGGTGTGTGCAGGTTGGCTGCTGTTTTGACAGGCGTGCCTTGAATACCAGCCTTCTTCTGGGAAGAGGGAAACATGCTGAATTGAAACAGGCTGGCTCGTGCATGCACACAGTCGTTCCTTTTTTTTTTTTGGAGCTGCGCAGGAAAAACAAACTGAAGGCCTCAGTGAAGGAGAGTGAGTCCACTGTGCTGACCTGTGGAACACACTGACACTTCTGAGGCTATATGGAGCAGAGGATTCTGGGATATTGCACGTTTTGGTTGTGTAGCCATTTAACCAGCAATTCGACTGTTTTCATTCATTGTAACTTTTCTTGTTGTTTACTTCTTACTCTCTTTTTCTGTCTTGACAATGTCCAGGGTGACAGTTTGGATCCTTAAACTACCCAGATTGCCTTAAAGCTCTCATCTTCTCCTCATGTTCTCACTTCATGTTGTCAGTCTGTGAAACCTTTAGAGAAGCTTTACATGATTTGTAGCTCATAAACCTCCTTATTGATCTGATACTGGGGTCTGTAAAAACCCTCATTTCATCCTCTGCCTGAAACTGTTTGTTTCAGCTGCTTTCTCTTTCAAACCCCCCTACGAGCCCACTTTCTTCTGATTGGCCAGCTCTCTGGAAGCCTTTAGGGGGGCAGAATGCTGCAGGGCTGCCAGTGGAGGGCTGCTCCGGCTTATGTAGAGGCTTGGAGCCGTCTGGTGAAGTTTTTGGTTTCATGTCGGGGAACTATCACAAGATTTGCAGAACAAGCTGTTCAGCACCCTCTGCAGACTCATCCTGGGGTTACTCCAACATACGTTTACCTCATGATCTGAAACTCTGCACACGTTTAGTTTGGGACATCCAGCATTGTAACACTATGTGTGAGTTTAAAAATGGAGATCAGCATAGTAGGTCAACTTTAAGCAGATATCCAGAGAAAGTAGCTGTTTTTGATTTCAACAGAGTCAGACATAGAGGATGTCAGGAGTGGAGGGTTTCAAATGCTGCGAGTGCATCTCCTGCATTGGGCCCACAACACTACAGGAGGTCTTGACAGTAAGCTCCAGTGTCCCAGAACCATCCCCCCCCCCCCCCTTCATGCTACTGTCACCATCCCTCATGTGATGTGATATATATTTTCAAACATTATCAGGATGCAAATATTTGCTAATTGTCAGTTTTGTAATATAAACAACTTTGACATCCTCAGCAGTGGATATGGCCGAGCCCCTCTGCAGAGGTTGTCATGGATACAATGGAATGTATGACAGCATATCAGATGTTTTGAAGTATAAAAAGCGTAATGTGTTAACATGGTTGCTTCAGAGACAAGAACATTAAAAAAACAGGACATATCACAGGGGGAAGGGTGTTTTTATTTCAAAAGAAAAGAATGGACCGCTTGCTTTCGTTGAACCTTCACAGTGTGTGTATGACCGAGTGTGTGTGTGTGTGTGTGTGTGTGTGTGTGTGTGTGTGTGTGTGTGTGTGTGTGTGTGTGTGTGTGTGTGTGTGTGTGTGTGTGTGTGTGTGTGTGTGTGTGTCTGCTCAGTGGGGTGTCTGAATAACGCGACAGGTTGATGGCTGACCTGGGCAGAGACCGGTCCAAGTTATTACAGTATTTCAATCTCTATTAGATTTAATCTGAGTTAGGGGGGCCAAACACTGATGTCACTGTTGACTTTTATACAGCAGAGCCAACACACACACACACACACACACACACACTCACACACACACACACACACACACACACACTCTTGCAGACTCAGATGAAGAATGATTGTTACAACACACATGCTTTTTCATCCGTCCTGTCATCGCTCATCATTTCATCACACACTCCCTCTGCTCGTCATATCTCTCCCTGATCACAGCCTCATAGCTCCGCACCGCTCCTCTGCAATTAAACCCACTTCAGGGTCATCTGGCCCGCACGCCGCCTCACACGGCATACACAGTGAGCAGAGCTGTGAGGAATGCCATCTTCCCCTGCCCGTAAAAAAAAAAACACCCCCGATCCCGAGTCCCGACCTGCTTCTTGTGTTTTGAGCTGCGTGGTGTTTGTCTGGCCTCGTTATTCTCCCATCAGCTCGGAGTCTTAATGGACATCAAATCTGGAGGGTTTCTGGGTGCAGATTAGTCCTCGGTTTGTTTTGACAGGCCTGTCTGAAGCAAGTGTGTGTGTGTGTGTGTGTGTGTGTGTGTGTGTGTGTGTGTGTGTGTGTGTGTGTGTGTGTGTGTGTGTGTGTGTGTGTGTGTGTGTGTGTGTGCCCTTTGCTGCTTGTTGTGCTGCTGAACTCAAGGCTCTTTGTGGCTGAGGAAATGCAACTAGATAAAAAAAAAAAACATGTTATTGACTTCTTAAAACCATACACACATTCTACACATGACTATAGCAGCTGGAGGAACACCATGTTGATTCTCCATTAGGGGAAAACTACGGTGGCTGGGAAGTGCAAAACATAATTAGAATGTGTGAAACACTTTTGCAAAGCTTGAGACAAATGTACAAGAACACTTTTAAACAGTCCCCAAACAACTTCACAAGTGCTTTGGGTTTTGTCATTATGTTTTATAAAATGTAAAAAATGTTTTTCAAAATGTAAATTTGTCTCACATTTTGCAAAAGTGTTTCACACTCTGTAATTTTGTTTTGCACTTCCCAGCCACCGTAGAAAACTCTTTGTGGTTCTCCTTTAACTGCTTTACTTCAAGGTGAGCCGGGACGTTATTGCTCCCTCCTTCAGTCTCATGTTGCTCTGTGCAAAAGTGAAGAAAAAATGAAGAATACAGCAATGGGCAGCCTCAGACTGACTCTCCTCCACCCCGTCCCCCTCCTCCTCCTCCTCCTCCTCCTCCCCCTCCTTCCCCTCCTGGTGGCAGATGGGATATTGAACTCAGACTGGCTCTTGCCCCTGGGGATGAGGGGAGTCAGCAGCTTATGATAATGGAGTGTAATTAGGAAAGCTAGCCTCTTTTTAGTCCCCGGTTTGTGGATAAGTGTAACTAAACCTGGTTCAGAGTCATCTGAAGGAGCTGTGAGGTCACAGGGTTTGAATTTATCCTGATAGACAAAACTTCTGGAGTAGTTCAGAGGCTGAATCATTCAGATTTCAATGATCCCCACAAACAATGATGTACAGGTTTCCTGTAGATGAGCTAAACGTCAGAGCGGCTGTAAAATAAAATGATCCTGAGTCAGAGGTGAACTACTTCTAAATGTTATTTACCCTGAAGCTGAGTGATGAACACATTAAAGTTACTCAAACCAGAGTTTTGAAATCTCATGCAGCGCTATAATTAAAATGATCTTCACATGTGGAGAAGAATGATGCGTTCAAGGACACTCAGTAAAATGTGCATCCATGTGCTAAAAAGTAGACCATGTTGTGTTCTCGTTCAGTATTCAATCATAATGCAGAAATAAACAGTATCTCTTTTTGAGCTCCTCTACTACAACTGTTATGATTATCATAATACTGTAATCCCAGGTCGTCTGATTGGAGGAGGAGGTACATGAGGCGGGCACACCACAACCACAAGGCTTACTAGCACCCCTTGATAAGTTAAACACTGGGTTTACTGTTAATTATATTCACACATATCAGGGAGTTTTTGGATGTTTGGATCAAGCGGTAACCTCCAGTTTAGAAAAATTAAAATGAAGCTGAAGTGTAAACTCCTGCAGTTCCTTAAGTGTCCACTAGAGGCTGACTGCAGAAGCACAGGAAGTCACATACACACCCATTCAAAAAGCCTGTTTTCACAGCAGAGATGAACATGTTTACAGTCTGGTTCAAAAAAACAAACAGGTGTGATTAGCTCATGTCTCGATCGACACACGCTGTACGGGGGGTGAATGTTTTGATGACTCATCAGTTTTGATTTGATGAAGGATAAGAGTTATTCACAATAAGCCGTGTAGCTGACCTGATTGACAGGCGGGCGCGGTGTAACAGTTTGTCAGGAGGCTTAAAACCCGCCTCAGCTCCAGCTCTCAGCCTGTTGTTAGGTTGACTGAAAGTTAGACTGAGACAGCATTTCCAGCACGGAGACTGCCATCGATGGGACTCCAGCGCCCCCTGCAGGAACAGACGGGTGGCGTCACTCAGGCTTCATCCATTGCAAAAAATTGTAGAAATGTCGCAAACCTTTTTTTTTTAAGTAAAAAGTGAATATGAGCACTAATCAAATCCTTAATTACGCAAAATCCAGATTTATAAATATCCATACTCAGGGCATGGATTGAGGTTGCCTTGAGTTGCCTAATTCATGATGGTCTTTGAACGCATCTAAACTCTCCATGCAGGCAGTTTGCGGGAGAGAGAGAGAGGAGGAGAGAGAGAGAGAGAGAGAGGGGGGGAGGAGCAGAGGAGCAAGGAAAGGAAAGAGGAGGAGAAGGATCCGGAGAAAAGTTTGAACGGAGACTCTCCAGCGGCCGGCTCGCTCTTAAAGCAGGAATAAGTGGAAAGTGAAGGAACACAAACGGCGTGAACGTCAAACGTCCGGTCTCTGTGGGTGTGTGGATTTTACTGGTCTGCTCCTGAGAGTCTTTGGGCGGATTAGATGAGTCTGACTTCACGATGAGGAGCGACCCTCTTCTTTTCACTTCCAGCAGGGGTGAGTGACTTCAAACAAACTGGGGTTGAGGATTATCCCCACAGGAGTAAAAGTCACGTAAACGCACCTTTTCTACTAAATATGTAAATTAAACCATCAAAATCCGAACTGGCCTATAATGAGCCGCGAGTACCTGACGTTTCCGTTTTGTATTTCTACCTCTTTACTCTGCTGTTTGCCCACTTCATGATTTGGGCTAGTATTCCTTAAGTCTTTTATACCTTCTGAATATTCAAGGCATGAAGACTGTGGTAGTTAAAATATTGTAGCCCACTTTAACCTGCAAAAAAAGAAACCTCAAAGGTGAAGAAAAACGTAAAAAAGTTGGAGAATGAATGCAGTGACTTCATTCAAGAATGATACAGTTTATTTTCCTAACTATCCATTTGTCATTTCGCTTGGATCAGTTATATTGAATAGCTTGTTTTTGGTTTTGCTTTGCATTAGGCTACTTGATACAGTCACGTACGCACGCGCTGCACACACCTCCACGCGCTGAAAAAATGCATGCCTGTAGGGTGCAACTCCACGCGACGTCTCTGATTCAAAATGAGTTTTGCGCAAAAGGAAATGAATTCAGTAAAATTAAGATTTAGACAGTTGATGGTTTTACCTTTGCACAGCGCGTGCACGCTTCCACACACACACACACACACACACACACACACACACACACACACACACACACACACACACACACACACACACACACACACACACACACTCCCCGATGAAGATTTGTAAACAATGTGATCACGGAACACGTTTGTCATTTTATGTTGTGAAAGCTGAATGTATGAAAGGTTTCACAGTTTGAAATAATCCAGGTTAATAAAATGTTGGCTCTCACAGGATGGGAGGGGAGGGGAGGGGAGGGGAGGGGAGGGGAGGGGAGGGGGGGAGTCAGAGAGGGAGGGAAGGAGGGAGGGAGGGAGGAGACTCTGTGGAGGAGAGACAGTTGGCTCTTGATTGTGTCATTAGGGTTGTGGTTGGTTGTCAAGTGTCTGTGCAGGATGAACTGCACGCCAAACTCCATTCAATTATCTGGTAATTTAATGTGGCTTCACTTAATGCTCCAGTTCATACCTCATAAATGTGTAGCATGCATTCTTTGGATCTCTGTCTAAGATATGATGACATTGTTTATGTGATGTGATTTCCGTGTATCACTTAGAGAAGTGGTTCTCAACTGGTGGGTCGGGACCCAAAGAGCATGGTCGAGAGCATGTACCTGGAAAACAACTGGTGTCCAACACTCTGTCAAGCTCTTTGTTCAGTTTCTTGCTTCCATCTGAGGTACAAAACATTTGACGGAAGCTGCAAACTGCACCAACTTTTGGTTGAAAAATATCAGAATTTGTCAGTGAGGAGTTGGTGGTGGGTCCTGATGCCAGACGAGTTCAGAACCACTGACTTAGAGGGTAATCCTGACAGCCACAAACCTGCAATTAGCTTGGAATTAAGAATGAAAAAAAAGGATTAAGAAATGCAAACTACATCCACCGGGGGCGTTTTTTACACCCCTAGTTCGTTTGCTCTGGTCTGAATCATCGACCAAATTGTTTCATGGTTGCTTAATTACTGCCAGTTTATCTGCGTTCACACGGGGACATTTACAAGCGAGCCAAAACTGTGTGATGCGTGAGGAAAATGCTCTCTTAAGAGGTCGGAATTTCTTGCCGGAAAATCCCAGAAGTTACCTAAGGGCGTCTTCACACCTGACGTGTTTGGTTCTGCTGCAAAAAACTGTGTTGGTGTGTTTGCCAAGTTTGCGCTGGTGTGAAAGTTTGAAAAGCTGGGTCTTAGTTTGCTTTATTTCGGACTCTGTTGCTGATCGTCTGGAGTAAGAACTTGAACTGACCGGTCTGACCTCATGCAAGAGATACCTGCAACACTCCAAGCTGGCTCGCAAATATTTGTGTACATTTATAGTGATTTGAGTTTGGGCTGTTGCAGTAAAACAACAGAAATAGAAGCAAGTGTTGATGGAAATGATGAAAATCTCGTCTGTCTTTCTTTCTGGTCTTCACGATGTCATAATCAGTTACCTTGAAATACTCTCACTCCCATATGACCTACTGTGCAATAACTCACCTGACAAGCATGTAGCCGATGCTGAAACTTTCCTTTTCTTCGCGAGATGTTTTCATTGTCAGCTCTTTGACACAGCCGAGCCGACTGTTACATAACCTGATTCATTGTTTTTCTGGCATTGTTACCTTCAGGACGTTCTGCTTTTCATTACCTCCACGTTGCTAAGACAACCGATCTGGATACATAAACAGCACATTATTTCTGCATGCTTCACTGAAACATGAAAAAGGATCAGAAGAGTTCTGAACATTAGTGCTGCGTTGCACAGCTAAAGCAGCCGGTCAGATGTAGAACACAGTCCAGGTCAACACGGGGATAACTCCACTCTGCAGCCAGAGAGGTTTCCCAAGATGATCCTGGAATGACAACACAAATGCTCCATATCTCCGATGTCTCGTTCTCGAGCAGTGAATGGAGTCCTACAACAACAGGACCTCCGCTAGCAGCTGCAGGGTATCAGGTGGCCCGGCGGGGGCTTCTCTTGCCCGCCACTTGGTGAGGTTCTGACAGACGCTCATTGTGTAGACGGCTTGTAATCACATCTCCGCGGCACACAGAAAAACACAGCAGATTGTGTTTTGGTTTTGGATTTGGGCAAGGGTTAAACCAATGTGAGTTTAAGTCGACCAATATGCAGGTATGTAGCAGAAGGTAAACCCCCCCTTGTTTACTCAGGATCCTGATACTGTCGGCTACACACATCTGGAACAAGGAACGTACTCTGAAGTGATAAATGAGACTGATATTATCATCTGATAGCAGGTCTTATTGTTGTACATGTGGTCCTACAGTTATGTTCAATGTTTTCACAGCTCGATGACTTACCAAGGGAATGCGAATACAGCGTCCTGAAGTGACACAAGAGACGTGAATTATGCAGATCAGACTTTTTATTCAATGCGAGGGAGACGTTCGCACAATGTTGAGTCAGCTTTGGTTTTGTTTTCCTGCGTTATTACTGTCTGAGCTGAATCCATTCGTGCATTGTAAAAGCTGTACATGTCTCATCTTGCATCTGACATTCCTTCTAACCATTCTGCGCCATGATGTTTTCATTCAGGCGTACTTTTGGCCTGGTTTTTTTGGGCCTTAAAATAATCACAGAAAAGTCTTATTTCATTTTTTCGGGTGATTTGATTTTTATCACCAGGTAGCCAGATTTCAGCTTCCTTTTACTTGAAAGATACGTTTTAAGCGCCACTCAGCTGAGATGATGGACAGGTGCTCCACCCTAAGTAGTTGGGTGTACAGAAATCCTGGTCCTGATCCTGGCTTACAGGTCACACACTCTGTACTGGTCAGGTTCTAGTAGCGGGAAGCAGCAGGACAGTAACTGAAGCCAGAGTTCACCAAAAAGGAGCTCAAATTAATCGAGCTGTGCAGCCTTTGTCTGAGGGACGTCTTTCCCCGTTTATAAAAAGCAAATTTCAGTTCACACTAGTTGACTAGTCTGAAGTAAAGAAAGAACACTCAAAGTTGATTAAACGTGGCTTAACATGGGATCATAGTGTCTGATGAGGGTCGTCAACGTTAGCAGTGGCAGCACCACCAGCCACAAGTCTATCTGTTTAATCTGACACAACCTACATACAACTTTATCTCCATACTCAAGATCAAAACACTGCCGAAGAGCTTCATGCTACAGATGATTCTGGTTTACATCCTGGTAGTAGAGCAGTGCGTTAACCAGAGCTGGAGACCTGGAGTAGTGGCGAGATGATGTGTTTCAGTTTAGAAACAACATTTAGCCGACTCGTCATTCCTGTGCTAACCAGTGAGGGTGATGACAATCAATTGGTTAAGTCGGCAATTTGTGCACATCGCTTTCTGTTAACGAGACTTGACAGCTTTGTTGACCAACAAGAATTTACAGGTATGATCCTGGGCCAAAGCTAAAAGTTGGGTTTAGCATTTTGTGGGGAAACGGGAAAAGAAGAGCTGTTGATCTACTGGTCTGTGGAACCCCGACTCACTTTTCTTGACAAGCTGGTGTTGGAAACACATCCAGCTGCTTTTGCAAGTCAAGGATTCCTTTCAGCAGGTCCTTGCTGAAGAACACACACACACACACACACACACACACACACACACACACACACACACACACACACACACACACACACACACACACACACACACACACACACACTCTTATGGGGTGCTATATTTTGGGGGCAAAATTGCACAAGTGTTTAAGTGTTTATAACCTTTTATTATTGCAGCTTTCCACACGGAAACCCTGACTCCACGAGCAATTAATCGGGGTGTGTGTGATGTGGGCAGAACGGGTACATGGTGTCACCGTTCTGGCCCACTTGGCCCATTTGGTCCTGCTTTAGAGCTGGGGGTCTTTTTCCCCTTCTCCGCCTCGCTCCCAAAGCCTCGTTGCCCCAATGATGATTGAAGTTTAAAAGCTTTCATGTGTCAAACACGTGAAACCCCCCCACCCCTCCCTCCTTTTTAGGTGGTGGGTTGGAGGATGAATCGCAGAAGCAAAGAGGAGGGATGAGGAGAAACCAGTTTGTAATTTCTCCTCCTTCCCTCCAAAGCTGACCCGTCAGTAAGATGGCATGCGGGAACAGAGACTTAAATCTGGAGGCCGACTAATCATAGACCTTGCTGCCTTCCCTCTCTGTCAATATCCATCTGGAAAAACACAGGAGAAGGATCAGGAGCTCGAGCACAACATGAGCCTGATGCCAAAGAGGAAAGTTTATTCAGCTATAACACAAATGGCAATGAGCCTACTGCTTTAACATCATCAACCAAACATTGACATTTGGACTCCTGCCTGAAAATCTAAAGCTGACAGTTGAATTAGTCCTATCTTTGTATCTTGGCGTTGATTGTCGTCTTGGTAATTTGTGACAATTAGGAAGGGATTGTTTCTGATCAGCATCAGCAGG